TTGTTGTTGTGCTTGTTGTTGTGCTTGTTGTTGTGCTTGTTGTTGTGTTTGTTGTTTGTTTTTTGTTGTTGTTGTTGTTGTTGCTGTTGTTGTTAGCCCAGCAGCCGCCCACGATGCAGACGAAGCACCCCGGTGCGGCACGCATTTCCAGCATTATTTGAGCCTATGTTGGACCATGTTGACCCATCTTGCGCCGCAAGAGCCGAAAAATGGTACAAGCCAAAAACATTGTAAAACGCGGTAGCTTCAGATAGTCCGCGCAGGGGTCGGCGGCGGGGGTGGGACTCCCCCCCTCTCGGAGGAGAGATGGCCTACGGCAAGGACACGGCCTTGGGGCCCCCCGGGCCCCTGGCCGGATAAATGCTCGGTCCCCCGTCCGGTTCACTGAAATCGCCGTAATTTACGGTGTTTTGTGTGTGTGAAGTATAAAAAAACAGTGCTTTACAGGGTTTATTGCGCATATCGAAGTGCGACGCGGCGAAGATGGAGAAATGCAAAAACGCTGCGCTTTTCAAGGGTGGTGTCGGTAATGCGCGCCGGGCGGACAAGCTTAATCGACATTTTGTGGGTAGAGGCCCTCCAGACGACTTAAATTGCCTAACATATCCTCAACATAGGCCCAAGATAGCCAACATATCCCCAACATATGCCCAACATAGCCTCCAAGATGGCTCAACATAGGGCCAACATAGCCTATGTTGGCCCAACATAGGCCCAACCTAGGCCAACATAGGCCTAACATAGGCCAACATAGGCTCAACATAGGCTCAACATGGGCCCAAGATGTGCCCAACATAGACCACATGGCCCAACTTGGCCCAACCTAGGGCCAAGATGCGCACCAGATAGCTTAACTCTGCTCAATATGGGGCCCCCGTCTCCGACGCGGACCAGTTTCCCACCTTGGCACCACCCAAGGCCCAGTACGCCCCCGATAGCTTAATGTGCGCCCGACTCAGCCCTACACAGACCCAAGTGGGCCCGCCCGGCTGTTAGGCGTAAGCCTTTAAATATGGCAGTCCCATGGAATGTCTGGGCTTATTTCCACACTTGACGTCCAAACTTTGCTACCCTTGGGTGGGCGCCAACCATCTCAAATGAAGGTTGAATACTGTGAGGGCTTGCTCAAACACCCGAGCCATCATATTGGCTGCCCGGCCAAACGAGTATATAGGCTAAATATGGCTATAAGATGTGTATGTGTTCGTTGTATCAATTGTTATATTTCAGATTATCTCAGGTATACTTGATACTCACAAAACGTACCTCACCCTGCATGAAACACACGGAGATCGAGTCGCCCCAGGACCATACCCCCGTGACCCGGCACTCCGCAGGTCCAAGCATCTCGCATCGCCAGATCCAGCCTCATGCCGTTTTCCTCGTGGTGCGAAACGTGGGGCCCATCGTCCCAGCGAAACGTGGCGGAGAACGTGCATGAGAATGTGTATGAGTGGCGTGGCCCGGGCATGGTTGGCCGAAGGATGGAGCGATGGGAAGCTTGGGAAGAATCAAGGGGGGGGTCGATTTGGACACTATGCAGAGCCACACGCCAAGAAACGAACTCGTTAACTCCAGAGCTCAAAGGTGGGACTGGGGTGGGTTTTTGGAGGGTCCAGTCATACCGAACCTCAGGAGCTACGACTGGAGCCTAGGCCAAAAAGCGATGTTGGGGGGATTATCCACTATGACATAGACTCCAGATCAGGAATCAAGCAACTGCTCTTGACATGCCTTGCGATATCACGCTGGAAGATCCTAAAATTCAATGATATGTCCATATATTTCCACATGGGTGCATATTTTATTGTTGGGAGATCCCCTAACCAGTGGGGTTTGGTCTATTTCCCTTCTTCCAGGGGCTCGTTCACGGGGGTCAGTCTCCCTAGTTGATGATCGATCCAACTGACCCTGCAAGATCAGCCCATTCCCGGTCGCCTTTCACGTTCGACCCTCAAAAAGATGCTTCGACCGGGTTTGATAGCATAAAATCCTTAGTGAAACAATGAATGGTTGATTCGAACCATCCCTAAGAATCATTGGACCCTCATATGGAGGGTTTTGACTCTGCATAGCAGGGGTTTGGACCCTCAAAACCTTCACCTTTGAGGGTGCTTGATTCTTAGGGATTAAAAGAATGGTGGGAGAGGAATCCTTCGTCGCGCGGTTCTGTCCAGGCGATGTTCTGTCCAAGCCACAACTCGTGAACTGAGCGACGTGGAGGTGGGAATCCTCTAACAATTGGCTTCTCCCCTACTATTGCAATAGTAGGGAGAAGCAAGGAGTGTGCATGGATCATTACTAGTGGGAATCAATAGTATAGGTGGATTTGTACTAAAAATGGCTTCTCCCCGACTATTGGTTGCCTGTACAAATCCAGCAACCCCTGAGCAACCAACAGTGTGTACAAACCCGGGGTTCTGCACTTAAGTCTGGGGAGTGTAGTGAAGGAACTCAGGTCGAATTTGAGTATTGTTTGGATGGTTTCGGAGATTGGTTACACCCACATGATACAGAACATAGTGGTGATATGTTGATGTGTTTGTCTTTCCCATCAAAGATAGTTGTATTATGTTCTACAATCTTTGCGGAAACTCCACCACCATGATGATTTCAGGGAGTGTACATCATGTCTGGCCCTTATCCAAACACTCCATGTATGCCATATATGCCTACATTGACCCCCTGGCACCACCACCATGTAGGCATATATGGCAGTCCCATGGAGTGTCTGGGTTATGTCTTTAAAAGAAGCATTCGAATCCCGCCGAGCATCCATCTTCAACTCATCTGCGTGACTCGGCCACAGGATGGCTAGCCATGGTAAGTGGCGCATGGCACGGCGCATGGCGGTGCCGGGTTGCCTGGGAAGGTGCCTGGTTGTCCAGAAAACTAAAAACGCCCTCGCATCCTCCCAAAACACGAAAGGTGTTGAGGGCCGTTCTCTGGATTGCAAGAGTTCACCAAGTCTGACCAAGTCTGTTGATAGACGAAATCTTGACACCATTTGAGGAATTTTGAGAGTGGGAATTTGCTATAGGAGATATAAAGAAATAATAGGAAATAATCTGACATGAGAGCAAATAGAAATAACAATATGGTTTATGATGATGTTCTTGTTTCGATGCGGGGTGAATCCTTTCCCTCTATAGTGTGCATTCCCTTGCATCCAAGAGCCGCAGTATCCCAAAGGCACACCCAGTCAACATGTTTTGCAGTCTCTTTTCTGTTGGTCTATTTTTCAATTGAGTATGTAACATGCAAAAGGCATACCGGCATACCATTTCGACACAGGATCCGTTGTCACCATCGTGTCAAAACCGAACTGGATCGTTCTCCCTGGATCTTCCGAACTCGATGAACGTGTCCTGTCTGGAGATCCATGAGGCCGCGGCAGTCGTTTTTTTGGGGCTGCCAGGCTTCCGGGCGAAACACCCGAGGAAAGGAAGGTGCTGGCATCTCAACGTTCATTCCTTCTGCCCCACAATTAGGTCAGGGACTGACCTCCACTGGAGATGATCATCGTAGGTGCTGTAGGTGCTGGTCGATCATGCTTTGTGACTTTCTTGGTGACTTTCCGCCCGTAACCAGGACTTTCAGTGGCCATGGTCAGTGGCTGGTCATGCACATGTCATGCAGCCAGGCTCACTGGAGCCGCTCCAGCTGACAGACCCGACGTCGGACCTCGTTCCGTCCCGATGAGACAAGGGACGACGACCGAAAGAGTTGTGGAGTGGCCATGAGGCGCATGAGGGACTCCACAGAGGCGTCCAACAGTGGAAGCAGTCACGAGACCGACGGGGTGCCGAACGAACGGAGGAAGGAGTTGGGTGCCCCAGAACACCTCCACGGCCCCTCAATAAAACGAGCCACACCACCCCTTGGAGATGAAGAAGAACATGACACAAACACGACACATGGGACTGGCGGTATATACCGATCAGTTGGGGTGGTGGTGCCAGAGGGGTGAATGGGGCGGCAGTCCTATGACAGACATGGAGTGTTTGGGTAGACTTTGGGTGGTTCTTCTTCAAAGATGTCACAAAGGTGTCACATGGAGTCCTCCAAAGGGACATTATATAAGAACAGTTTTTTTTTGGAGTCCTCGAAAGGTGTCACATGGAGTTGGGTGGTTTGGCTCGTCCCATCCGGTGAGTGGAGATATCAGCACCCCGACGTCGTCCGTTCGTTCGGCACCCCGTCGAACGTGACTGCTGGTTGGAAGGAAGAAACATGGGGCGAGACACCTTTGAGACATGTTTGAGACATTCTTCCTCCAATTGTACAGAAGAAGCGCACAATATTGGCAAGTTATTTCACATGGCCAAACAACTGGGTCTGTTCATGTCCGCTTCACTTCCCTGATAGTTCATGGTTAAAACATGTGGGTCAACACGTGCAAGACACGTGGTTGATCTGGTCTAAAATGTCAATCCCCCTGGCAAAACGTGGTTGATCTGACTTGATTGGAATCTGGAAGCCATCTGGGAAGGACGAACTGCCATTGCTTATCCATTTCCCAAGGGCTCCAAGTACCTTGGGTTGGTTTAGAGGGTCCAGTCATACCATCTGCGGAGGTACTTGGAGCCCTAGGGTTTGTGATTCAGTTTGATCTTTCGGATCCTCCTGTACTGTACACATCTGTACAAATGCATCGCACCTGACCATTTTAAGGTATGAAATGGTATGAATAACGGCCAGTTTTTGTTGCCTGCCTCAAATCCACGCATCAACAAGGGAAGTTGTTCGCCATACCTCAAGGCTTTTGCCACAGTGAGTCAGCTGAAGAAGTCAGGCTATCAGCACCATGTCCATCAGTCAAGTGTTCATGTTCCTCAAGCACCCATGAACAACACACTTGAACAGAAAAGCATCACCTGAAAGTTGTATCGAATATGATCGAATGAACAACACACCGACTAGCTGCATCTAAGGCCTTCTCATGGATGGGAGCCAGGGCCTAACATCAAATAACTATAATATAAATTGGCTTGGTTTCATTTTGTTCAAGTTTTGGTTACTGTGAGACAGTGAGTGTCCCGGGACACTGCCTCGTGCCGGATCCACCCGTCACCACTCCCACCACCTCCCCTTCTTCCCACCGGTCACCGAGGTTTCGTGCCGAACCCAGGACGAAGCCGTCGCACCGCCGCCCACACCGCCCAACGCGCGCGACGGACTCGGCCCGGTCCCGTTCGGCTCGGAGCATGGCCAGATCGATCTTCGGGAACTCCTCACTTTCGGACGCGACGCGACGCGCAAAGGCGCCGCCGGGCGCACGCGTGCGGCGACGCTTTTGCGGCGGGGCGGGGCGGGGCCCGTGACGGCAGAGGACTTGGAGGGTCACGGAGGGACCGTTTGGGGGGTGGGGTTTGGTGCGCCCAAGAGTCCGGCGAAGGAGCTGGTTTTGACCTAAATTAATAAGAAACAAATCTATACTATGTGGAAATCACATCAAGAAATCACCCTCATATGGAGGGGTCTGGGGTCTCAAATCCCTAGGTTTTGAGGGTTGGAGCGTCTGGGTAAAGCAACAAATCGACCTGCAGTGGTGGTGAACGTAAAAGGCATTGCCAAAGCTGATCGACCCCTTCACCTCACCTTGGATGCTTGAGAGCAGTCTACAAACAATCAAACCTTGAAGGTAGAATCTACAGAGATGGTTCTAAAATGTTCTGAACTAGTCAGCACAGTGAGAGTTTCCTATCGGAAATCTATGGAAATGATTGGACATGTATCAGACAGTGCTTTCATCAGTTGGGCACTGTATGTTCAAAATAAATCTGTTGTGCTCACATTTGAGACTCTCAGTAAGGGGCTAATTTACGTTGGACCCAAAAAGAAACCAATGTGACAAAGTTTGCAACATACCACTTTCGCGTCGGCACCATGCAGCCTTGTGCTCACATGGAGCCTCACAGGGCACTTCTGAAGCCTACATGAAGTTGCCTTGACATGGATGAGCCAACACAATGCCTACTGGAGAAGATGCCCTTATAAGAAGTGAAAACATATTTCATGTCTGGAACTTAACCCACATCGGACTCTGCCCCTCACGGACCCTTCCACACAAGACCCTTGCGGGGTCCAAAGGGATTGAACATGTTTGAAACATGGTTATGACTCCGAAACGCAGGATGTGAGCAAACAACATGCACGTGCACCTGCGGTGTCAATATGAATGATCGTGGAGAGTAAGACACTCATGACAATTGTAAGGCACAAGAGCAGCCAGGGACTGAAGCCATTCATGCACATGGATCTGGAATTTGTGAGGCTCACGATTTGTTCCTTTCAAGCTACCCGATCCCCGACCTTCCCCAAAACTGCTCGCGGAGCGCGGAGGCCGCGGAGGCCCGTGTCCTGTGGAGGGGTTCCCGTCGGAATCTCCTTTGCCTGGCTGCGGAGGTGGTGCGGAAGCGAAAGAGGTGGAGGTCTGACAAAGGCGGGATGGTCTGAAGCAAGAAGAGATCCACAAGTTGGTCTGATCAGGATGCAGCCATGTTGGGGGTCTTCTGTCTCAGATTGCATTGAAACTGAATGAAGCTGGCCGGAGATGATTCTGAAGTGCCGCAACTGAGATGATCAGAGACTCTGCACACACCACGAACATGTGCGAAAAGTTCCCACAGGTCCGTTGCAACATCAGTGCGACACAAGTGTGGATAGTAAAGAAACGGTCATTTTCTCGATTGTCTCTGACCCATCCCGGTTTCGCTGGCAAAGATTTCAGTTTGGCCCTACAGGTCTAAAACAAATCCTTTTGCTTTTTCTCAGCTTACATTTGGGTCTCCCAACATGAATTGAATCATCGAACTGGAGATCTTCCCTCCACCATGACCCCCCATTCAGCCCTTCAGTATTAGTGTTTTGTTTCTTTTCCTTTTGTTGGCGAAGCGGGCGGGGAGAAGTGGTTGACCTGCTGTCTGCGGGCGCGTCGGCCGCGCCTGGCCGTAGTGCTGAAAGGGCTTGGTGTGGTCCGGCAAGACGGTGTCGCCCCTGACCCCGTGGCCGAACCGCTTCTCGGAGTCGCCGCCGTGAGACCACCGTGACCGGTCGGGGGGGGGTCATCAGCAGGTCGAAACGGGGGAACGCCGCCGAGTCGTGCCAAGTGGAAGAGTTGCCGTGGAGTTGTTGATAGCAACTGAACCTTTCGGTAACACTTGTTGGATCATCCTTGCTTCTGTGTGGGCTGCTTGGAGAGTGTAGTTCATTGTTTTGGTCGATTGAGAATTCTGGGGAGTGTGGATGCAAGTGACTAGTGTGCCCTGATCCCAATGGTCAGCAGGTTTTTGATACGGAGTATCTATATATATATATACCAAGAGGGGTTGAACGGCCCTAAGGTCGCCCATCCCATATGTACCACAGACCAGGGTCCGAACGTTCAGGTCTCTCAACCTCTCTTGGTAGATCAAACTTGAACGATGGGACATTCTTTCCAATCGCACATATCATCTACTCTACAGGTCAGGGACGGACTTGGCCTCCTGAAAATATCAGATGGTCATACCAGTCATACCAGAGGTGGGTCAGGACCCTACTTGTTCGACTATCCCAGTTCGGTACCCCAGTAGGCCGAACGTTCAGGTCACTGGATACCTACCTCTCAATGACCAGTCATACACTCCTGCTCAATGAGGTGTTTCAGTACCAGACTAGGTCCCAAGGGTCCAAAGGTCGGGTCCTGGACTCAACGGGCGGTCTGGAGCGACCTCTCATGCCTGAGCCGATCCATATACGCCCTTAAGGCATTCCAACAACCAAAATCCATGCACACTACACAAATGTTTGCATATGTTGCACAGTAGTCAAACATTGGTTCATACCCCACTCATGAGCCACATTCATCCCCACTCTCCTGGCAAACAAAACAGCAAACTCCACACTGAGTTGGCTAAGAAAAGGAGCCCGTCTCCTCTACAAACCTCAAGCTCCACCTCCAAGCGTTGTGAATCAAAGAGACACACTCACGAACCCATTGCCATGGAAGTGGAAAATCGGCGTCTGGAAGACTACTTGTTTTGCTCTACGAACAGGGGGTGAACTCCACTTCCATGTCAGTGAGCGCGAGAGTAATCAAAGCTAGGGTATAGGTTTTTTTCAAATTGGAAGCGCCCCTGGCACCACATGAGTTCTTTAGTCTCGTCCTTTTCTGAAAAAGTATCCCTATTTCAATCCACACCTCTAGAACTCTAGAGTCTTCAATTGAAACCCTTCACCAAGAAAACACTCTTGTTTGTGTGTCCCCCAATTACACATTACACTCATGGTTGCGATAACCTTTGGAAAAGTGTCTCTAGTCTTTTCAGCAGGGGTGCTCTTATTGGTTTTCTAGTAACACTCTGACTCACTAACATGGAAACGAATGGCATGGTGCCCGATTTCGGACGACTTTCCTTTCCTCTACGAACAAGTGGGGCCCGAACTCCTCTTCCACCATGTGACTTGGTCTCAGTCTATCTCAGGTCCTTATCGCTCGGTCCTGCACCCCACCGCCCAAACCGGCGGCTTCACCCCACCGCGCCACTTGGGCGCCGCTCACCTCTTGGGCGGAGGGAAGTCGTCGCCCCGCAGCAAGGTCGGGACCGGCTCGGCCCAGGCCTCGGCCCAGCTGGTTCGAAGGAGTTGGAGGCGTGTGTGTTTTCGAAAGGAATGAGTACATGCGATGCTACATGCAGCTGAAATAAAAAGAGGTACAACGCTTACAACCAAATCATATGCCAATTGAAGTGTTTTCTTTATATGTTTTTGTGGTTTAATAGTGTATATATATATATGTGAAGATATATTATATGTATATATATGTGCTCAATGCATATAAATATAGATGCATGTTGCATTCTGATTGAAAGCTGCATTGACTAACCAACCTAAAAAGGTTCCACCACGTAGAAAACGAAGATGCCCAGCCAACACACGGGGAGGTAGGTCTACAGAGAGGAAGGATCTAAAATCAATGGAAGGGCTAATCAATGGCCCTGTCTGCTGCCAAAGCAAGGAATGAATGAATGCATACATGAATGCATTCTACATATAGCAGTGGATTATTCGTGCTATTCCTATTACTATACTATAAGCACTAGTAAGAATACTGCCATCCCGTCAAAAAAAATACATACCCAGAACCTCTTTTGCGGCAGAAATGTCTGCCTTTGTCCGGCGGTATAGGTGTTCTTGCCGGCGTTTCTTGTCCAATAGGGATCCACCCAGCACTGGTTCCACGCATATCCACAGTAATGTTTCATTGTAAATCAGGAATTCACTTGATGCTTCACTTGCATGTTGCTTTGTAGTGTTTCTATGCATTGATTCATTGTTTCAACGTTTGTTGGTGTGTGTTTGCTCTTACCTGTTGCTTAGGCGTGTTTGCCTGTTACTTAGGCATTCATACCTGTTCCCTTCGCCACAATCAGGAGTTGGGTGGTGGCCATTTGGGGGGGGTGAGTGAAATGAAATTCAAAAAACATACTTTAGATCGGGGACTACGTAGCATCAGGTGCTCAGGTGGCCAACCATTGTTTTCTGAAATATTTGTTCTTTCAAATTCTGGTTCTGCCTCCTGCATCTAAGAATGCATATTGTGTCTCGGCGTATTCAACCCGGCTGCAGTTTAGGCATTCTTAGTAAAAACGGGCATGGTTTTCAGCCTAAATACAGTTAGGCGGAGTTTCTTGCCAATCAAGATCTAAGTATGTTGCAGTTTGCCTCCATCTAGTCATATCTGGGATGTTGTTCCAAAATGGTTTTGGACCTGGGGCTCTGTGAAGCGTTCCAGCTCAGTTTGCTCCGCTCACCGTTCCACGACCCGCCAAGCAGCCAAGGGATGTCGTGGTTGCCAATCCCTCCGACGATTGGCACCTTCCGGCGGAAGACGCGTCAGCGAGGTCGACGACCGAAACACCGTGTCTTCTTGGTGCAAGCATTGCAACCGCTTTTTGGGAACCTGTTTGGGTTCAAAACAAACCTGTATGTGGATCCCCCTTGATTGTCTATAGGCGCTGCGATTTTACATTTTATAAACCATTACTGTGTATAAAATGAGGGGGACAGGTATTTTCGTTCATAAAAACCAAGTAGTTTATAAAATGACCTAGATAGATCCAGGAGCAAACAGAAATCGGATGCAACATGTTTATGAAATGAGATCCGTCAGAAGGGAGGGTCCGTCCAACGTCCCACTATCAGCCGTTATAAAATGACAATGATGGATTCCACGCCTTTTCAAGCCGTCTCAATGTTCTTCTGAGGCTTCCCAGCCTAGAGGCTTCCCAGCCTTTTGATCCCTTAAGGCTTCCCAGCCTAGAGGCTTCCCAGCCTTTTGAACCCTAAGGCTTCCCAGCCTAGAGGCTTCCCAGCCTTTTGAACCCT